CCCGCCCGTCCCCCTCCTTGTATGTGCTGGTACCTCTGGACCGTTCAGAAGCCATTTTAGAACTCAGGAAGCAAAATATGAGTTTCCACTTGTGCTTTTGCAGGTGTTGTGGTGGCAAGGATAACCTTTGCTCACTTGCCGGTGTGTTACCGTCCTGTTACTTAATGTCTTTGAGAATTAAAGACAGTACAGAAAATTCCAAACCCACATCCTAACACCTGAAGCTTGCACAATGTTTCTATGAGCAGATGGCAAAACATTTCACTGGAACCTTAATTTACCAAGTCAATATCCAGATCTGGAGAGTTTTTATTCTTTTGAGACACCGCTGAAGATCCATAATCGATTTTTTTAAATCTATTCCAGGTAAAAACAAAGCAAAACAAAACAAGAAGACCCCTTCTAGGTGCTTCTGCACGCCGCGGTCCCACCCAAAGGGCCGGCGGGCCTGCAATCTTTGTATTTCACGCCGAGGGTCTTTCCAATTGAACGTGCATTTTCAGTCCCGGACTACTAGCAGTTTATAGGGGGAAGGTAACACCATAGGGCAACTTCCCCAATAGTCTAAGGGGCTGAGAAGCCTGAGGTGCATTTGCCTCCTCGCAGTTGGACGCGAGGCTCTGAGCCCGGCTGTCCTCAGCTGTCACGGGGGGAGGAGGGAGTGCTGGCATTGGCATTGGGCGTGGAGCTGCTCCAGCCGCCGCGCCGCGTCCCGCTGCCAGCTCACCTCTGCGGAGAGCTAGGCACTCACCGGCCAGCTTGCCCCTGCTCCCACGTCGCCCTCCGGCCCCAGTCCTCAGGCATAGGTCGCTGGAACCATCCAGTGGGATGGCCGCCTCCTCCGCGGGGACCGCTGCCTGAAGGCCAGGGCCGGGGACCCTAGCCGTCCCGGTAGCCCGCAGCTCCCGGGGCGCTGTGGCAGCGGCCGGCAGGCGCCGGAGCCCGCTCCCCCTCCCCTCCCCCAGCTCCCGCCTCCAGCCCGCTGCGCGGTGCGCCCGCTCGCCCCAGCCGGCTGGCGCAGCAACGCACACACTCACTCCGAGGGCGCCTCCAAGGTTACCCGCGGGGTGGGGGCTGGGGCAGGCTCCGGCCACTGGCCTCCTCCGCTGCTTTCCTATTCCTGCGGCCCTTCCGCCGCTCCAGGGCGA